ATTTGCATGAATGGCGCACTTCCTGACCGTGTCGTGGCATGCTTTTATGCTGACTATGAAAAACGTCACCCATACGTCTGGCCGATATCACACTTAGGTAAAAAAAGTCCGCATTAAACTTCCCGATATGTTCGCCTTATCAGTGCCTCCTGTATTTTTTCTGTACCTGCCACGTGAGCGCCACGGTGACTGTCGAGCCCTTTCCCATTACTCTCTTGATGTGGCACCTAGGCGCTGCCTGGCGGCGCTGCGTCATTATCCTTGACAATGCAGACGATGCTCTCCGCTGCTTGCGCGCCGGCCTTTGATGCTTTTTTGTCGTCTGCTAAAAAGAAGCGCGAACGTTGTTCGGTGTTGTTGCCATCATATTAAAAAAAGTATTATTCATGTGTAAATAAGAATAAAAGTGAAATAAATTGTCGGTAGGAGTCTTACTGGAGTAACAATTTGCGTGGCCGTCACCCTGCAGACGACAAGTTCCACTCGTTATTTGGTCGCAGAGGCAGTTGTATAGGTCTCTCTGTTTGCCTCAATGGGGATGTCCTCCTGCCTTTTCATTAGTCACTATGCACTGCTGTTGTGTTCCGTTCTGCACTTCAAACCAACGAAAGAAAGAAGTCCGAGTGTCCTTTCACGAAATACCAGCGAACACTGAGCTACGTGAACGATGGCTACAAGTCATCGCAAGAAAGAACTGGGTGGCGAATTCTACCTGAAATTACTCGGCCGTGTGCGCCCTACATTTTGTGGAAGCTGACTTTCGTGAAAATACTGAGAGGCGTAGGGTGATGCCCGATGCGGTGCCTAGTGTTTCCTCATTATCCGTCGTACATGAAGAAGGAGCCACCTAAGGAGAGAAACTGCAGCAGCATACAGAAGAGAAAGCATGACTCTTCGACGAACACGTTGGCAAGTCGGCCAAGTCAAAAAATCACTTCGTGCCCTGCAACGGCGCTAGAACTTTGCGCGGACACGCCTAAAGAAGTCACTGGAGACCGTGGCTGGCAACAGCGAGAAAGTGTTTCTTCAAGCGGCATCCAAGACTTGCCTTTTGTGACAGCGCCCAAGTCCGCAAACACTCTTGAGCCACGAGATGCGCAGCCAGCGGAAGAGGGTGCAGGCGTGCGTGCCTTGACGGCAGTTGGTGTTCAAGCCGACAGTAGAAGCACTGCATCAGCCTTCTTGCAGCGAAAAAAAAAATGGCGCGCGAAGGAAAAAGAATGGAAGCAACGTAATGAAAGACTGCAGGCAACCGTCCCTGCTTACAAAAAAGAGCTGCAACAATTGAAGGAAGAGTGTAACATGGGAAAATTTCTTCAAGTCGCCATGGACTCAAATCAAAACAGCACTAAAGCAAGATTTATTAAGGATCAAGTTCTAAATTACAAGGCGAAGAAACCGAAGTGGTGTGAAACCACTATACGACAGTGTATAATTGTGCAGAACCTCTCAACAACTTTGTCAAGATGGTTGATTGGGCGAGTTGGTGATACATGATTGTTCGAAATAAGAGCGCACTATTCAGACGTGAACAGAAAGACAGGGACAAGTGCTTATTACCAACTGAAAATTTATTCAGAAAACTATTGAATATATATACGGACAGATGAAACAGTATCATGGCACATAACATAAGACCAAATCACTGACGAAAATGACAGTACCAATAAAAGATCTATGTACGTCAGCCCCCCCCCCCCCCCCTCCTACCAACGCCTACTGTGCTTTCGAGTGATTACTTATCTCCTATGGCATATGCTACTGTCTGAAAATGCTAGTTCCTTATTGGACAGAGCTATCGATGATTTCCTGACACAAGTCAGGTGTTCACGCGCTATGTATGCTGCCTCAGGTATAAGCCTTGTGCGCTCATCTTTGTGTTTGTAAAGTACGACTGTGTTATCAAACTGTACTTCACAGCCACATCTAGTGATATGCTGGGCCAGATGTTCGCAGCGGCAATGATGGTTTTCTGGTCCAGCATGTCACTAGATGTGGCTGTGGACGTGATGCTTTTGGACCGCGCGCCTTTTCATAAGCCTCTGAAGACGTGCTTCCTGAAGAATGTGGATGTAATTGTTCGTTTGCCAGTACTGCTGTGTGACCGTTGTGACCAAACTTGTATGCAGAAACTTGTATGCAGAAACTTGCACGCAGAAAGTTTATCAAGCCGCTGTTCACAAACTAGATCAAGGTGTAAATGTGAGGACTAAATGTTTGTCTCTTGAGCTGGTCTGTGAGGACTAACTGTTAGTTACTTACTCAATTTTGACCAACGTTACTGTTTGGACTTCGCTGACAAAAAAGACCTGTGGCTAAGCTTTATCAAAAGAAGCTGTTCTCGCAGAAGTTTTTGAAACTTTGAAGCTTGCCCGACACGCGCACCTTCAATGTTGGACTGACGCAAATAAGCGGTTTCAGTTCATCCGGTTGCTGTTTTTTACTTGTTCTGGCATGTTTTTCTTTACATTTATCTTTTCTTTTGTGTATATAAAATTGCTATATCTCGTTTCATTACTTCAACCTCTGAATTTCATTTATATTTTGATCGGGATTGATCTCTATGTTATAGCAGAGCAATCCCTTCGAGCGCTTACATTCAATGTATAGGACACCTTTAGGTTGCTTTTTTTTGTAATACGATATCATAAACAAATAGGCAAATTCAGAAGAACAGAATACGACTGAAAGAAATTGCATAAATTTAGAAAAAGCGAGTGGTTGTGCGCCATTCAACCATAGCAATCAAGCAAACAAAGACTGCGCGAGAGGGTTATAACCTGACGCCACCACGCGGTCATTCTAAGAAACAGACCATTAATCGTGGAGCAATGGGAACTTGCGTCACGCAAAGGCACAGAAAAGATACAGGAGGCGTTGGCCCTATAGATATATCTATTGATTTATTTATTCAGAATACCTTACAGGCCTACCAGAGCATTGTATAAGGGAAGTATCAGAAGAATAGATACGTGGAATTGCACAACTTACAAAAAACAATAACATAAATCAATTGTCAACGATTATACAATGCCTAATAGCGACGAAGATGAAAAAGAAAAAATATGAAGAAGAAAAATACTACGGCAATGAAAAGCAAATTATTATTTATGCGAGATATTAACGTGAAAGAAAATATAAAAAAGTAAACGCAAGTTGTAAAGAAACAATTATTAAAAAGTATTGCTCAAGAATACACAAATAATTAAATGGTATATTAGCATTCAAGCCTTCCGAAAATTTTTAAAATAAAGAAAGAAATAAAAAAATATAGAAAGAACCCAAAACACTAGAAATAATTAAGCGCGCAGGTGCAGAACGTAATATGAATAAGCCGAGAAGTTAAATTATTCAATATAATATGACTATAACATGGTTGAGCATATTTTCACAGAAACAAAAAATAGTCATGTTTGACAAAAACATACTTGCGAGACAATGCAGTAAGTGAACTGTTGTCAGTGTTGTTATCATTATACGAGAAATATACACTGTGCCGTCTGTTTAGGTATGCACCAAATATTTAAGAAAACTGAATGCCTACTTGCCTTGTTTTCTACTGAATTAGGGGAATGCTGGAGCACACATGACCCGAAACGCTATTACCCATACTTGAAGCTTTATCTGACACGTGCGGTACCTATGGAAGCGGAATGTTTTGCAAAAGAGATACGCTAGAACTCATATGGAGGAGGATTGCCTTTTATTTGTTAGAAAGAAGAGAGAGAAAGAAAATAAGAGCAGTAGGGGTTACAACGTGATGCACGTGGCGTCAGGTCGAAGGCGGTCGACGAACTTCGTTGGAAGCTAAAAACCAGAGGCATCTTCTTTCATTTAGAATGACTGCCAGTTGGGCATGTTGGTATAAGTTCATAATAATAGAAGCACTAAGATGTACAAACACTCAGAAAGGACACAGCACGAGCGCTTAATAGCGACTGAGAAATTTTTATTTTAAAACGAACACTTATATATGCATAACACACATATACATCATCTCAAACCACCCTTTTTATTATCAACAACGTGAAATACTGAAAAAACCATTCCCATAATCAACGCCATCTATTATGGTACTTAATTTTGGGGTGTCTTCGTGATACACTACGTGTCCAATTTCTTTGCGTACCATGCTTATTCACTATTCTATAGCAATAGGCCTACTTTGCAGCTTTGACTTATTGTTCACCGTCCGCTTGCCTCCTCGTCAACTAACTGATTATCTAGCTGACTGGGCAGCCTGGGCTTGGCATAGTGTGAAGGGGAACAAAAACCGAAGAAAGGGGGAGATTTTCTTAGCACCATCAAAATCTCCCCCCCCCCCCCTCTCGCTAATTTTTCTCTTTTGCAAGATGCATAAACATTTGTACTGCAAAAATAAACGTGCAGTTGTACCGAGTGGGCGCCGGTACTGTTTAGTTTTTCTCGAATCCGTTGCTCCGCGTTTTCTACTATGATTACCTGCGATTATGGCACAGACTATTCACGCATGCACGAAGAACTAACTGTTATGTTATCCCCTGGTGGCGATGTTTCACGTTCAGTTTTACCGCGCTCACGATGTATCACTCACTGCTATATATTAAACAAACATCCCTTGCATTACTTACGAAAAGAAATGTTATTGTTTACTTACTTGGGCGTACAATGCTTCTATCGATTCCTTAGTGCAGCGAAACCTTAAGACGTGTGATTGAAATAGCAGTACTTTGTTTTTTCGATTATCTGCAATATTTGATAGAAGCGAAATGACCAGCATGAGAGTGCTGAGTGTGCGCCTCTTCTTTCTTTTGAGAGTGGAGATTTCTGAGCTGCAGGTGCTCGAAAGAGGATAATCAAACACGAACATGGAGGCGTGATGTTGAGTTGACAAAAACATACAGCGACACTCACGCTGACCTTGCTGCACTGCTGGAATGCTGACTGAGTGACGGGGCTGATAAGTAGTTCGTCCGCAGTCTTTCTTTGTAAACCGCCGCAAATGCAACGTGTGTTTTTCACGCCATTCGACTTTTTGTGGTTGTTTTTCTGAACAAGGTTGTTGCGTGCTCCGCACTGTATTCGTGTCATGGCCGCCGCCGTGCGAGCTTGCAGCAAACGTGTGTTCTCGAGAAGCTCGGGTCATACTGCTCAGCGCTCCAGGTAAATGTTGCTATACTTACTCAATTTTGACCGATTGAGGCTGTCCTTGAACATTTTCGCATAAACACTCGTCATTTGAGAGTAAATCGTGCAGATCTGATGAATAAAATTGTATGGGCGTTCAAGTATGTTTGCAGTAACTTAGCTGCCGAACCTTTGCTCTAAGACAACAACAACTGAGTATCTTTCCCCACCTCACCCGGTGAAAACTGCTGGACTCTAAATAAAGTTTATTCAATCATTCTCCTCTGTAGAGACACCGTCCGACTTACTGTAAACTTTTCGAAAGTTTAGAGTTGTTTTTTTGCGGAAAGCGCTATAACAATGAAATCTCATGGTGTGCTTAAACGTGACACCGATAAAAAGTTGCCATGTGTCATATACTTACAAGGCACAACTCAACAGGCTACTTCGTAGGCCACTATAAAATTGGAGGGATCGGGCACACCGTTGCAAAGCGTTGTGGTTAAATCAGTATTTCTAGCAGAATCGTAGTTCGGACTGGAAGTTGTTACTGTGCGTTACCGCAGCTTAGACGTACAGATTTGATTTTTTTCAAAGTATTGGGAAAACTAGCGTGCCTGACGTTTTTCGGTAATGGTAACCTTAACACATTACATTTCATTGCAGATAAGGCAGGGCGGTAAGTGTTCCTTTTTTTTTGTTCGTGAAGCCAGACATGTATTGATTTAGGTTTTTTTATATAACACTCTTTAGATGATTGACGACACCTTGTTAAACAAAGGGAACGCGAGGAACTCGGCTGTCACTTGCATATAAAATTAAAAGGCCATGGCCATTTCATTTTAGGGTGCTCATTACGGCTACTAAAAGCCCGTGGTTGCATATATTTTTTTGAAAACTAGGGAAACCGCATACGAAACATTCGTTATAAGCAAGCTGGACTATGCAAGCTATCGTCATTTCAATTGCCTACCAAGCATAGTTATTCACTTCTCTTGAGGCAGTGAAACGTCGTGCTGTCTGAACTATCCCATCAAAGAATATTTCACACACCAGTGTAATTACCATAAAGTCACTTTTCCAGTTTCCCCCTTTAATAAAAAGGCGCAATGTCTGTCGACTCGCCCGAGTTCACAAACTGCATGACTAATTTTACATCCTGCACGTCCGGTACAATGCTACTTTCACCAGCTTAAACTTCTCGCCGCCTGTTCTATTCCAACAACGTCCAAAGCCTTTATGGTTTGATTCTTACTTTTAATAACTCATTTCTTCAACCATGAAGGATTGGAATGGCCTTCCTGAATCTATTACCGTTAAAAAATCGAGAAAAATTCAAAGAGTTATTCCGTGCGCTTTTTATTGAACGACTTTAATGACGCACTTTTTTGCGATCCTGCAATTTCCTGCTCATTATTTTACTGTTGTAGATTATAATAATGTGCTTAATGTCATGTAGTAACTAACACCAGGCCTGCTCCAAGAACTCAATGTTTATTCGAGTGTTCATGCTTCAACCTTGCTTCTCGTCCGCATCTTCTTCATGTTGCCACCCATCCACAATTATTAGCAACATATTCCCACGGGGCCAACGCGATCAGTCGGCAGTTTATATATTTTGAAGGCAAACCAACGGATGTCCTTTTTGTTGATTGCTTGTTCGGAAGCTAGTCCCATGGTACAGATGTGTACAATACCGTCTTTTACCTTGTAACTTTAAAATGACTCTGCGCAGCTTCAATAGTACGGAACGTGTGAAGACATCATGCACGAGCATTGCGTCACCTTCACGTACCTGAGGTAGTTCACGAGCCCGCCCGTTGTGCGTGGACCACCGTAAAAGAAAGTGGGACCACTTCCACCGGACCCATAACTCCACTGTGATACGCTCACGATAGGACTTGCGGTGGAACGAATCCTCTCTCGTCGTGCTATTAGAAATGCTCGCTTTTTTGCGCAAGGCCTATCACGCGTCTTCCGAGCAAAAGGTTGTATGGAGTCAGCGGTTTCAGTTCCTCAGAGCTGCTGTGCAGGTACATAGAAGCTGCGCTGATGATGTTAGCCTGAACTTCACAGATTGCTGTATCGAGGTCCTCGGCGTTGAGACTTAGGTGTCGAAATGACCATCTCGATGCGTCTCTGTCCATTTGATGAGGCGCTCTCACAAGTGCCCCCCCCCCCCCCAAAGATCTCCAAAAAACTTCTATCGGACAATTGGTTGCCTTTGGAAGATGAGTAGCAGCTGCACAACTTCAGCGTCAAGTTTTTAACACTTCAGAAGGACATCGTTGTGGCAGGGATTACCTAGCACGTGCGATGATGCGTCAGATACAGCAGGAAGCTTCGTGATCGAATCTCGACGAATGACTGCGTGACGCGACATAGAATATATCTTCTCTCTTTGCTCAAGTTCAGCTCTCCCTTCGAGTTCGTTGACGTGTGCCCTCATTGCCGGGTCATACTGCTTCAGGGGTTTGGGCTCCTCCTTTATTCTATTGGATTGCGCTTCGAACCAGCGCTCAAGTAACATTTCATTGCCCCAACCGAAAGGTATCCCGATGACCTCTTCTTGTTGTCATAGTTGAACAGATTTGACACCAAGTGCGGGCACCGCTAGTAAATGTCGAACTTGCGCTGGTGAGGGTTGGACGTCTACTTTCGGTAGCAAACGCGATAAACCCGACTCCCCTTGTCCTGGCCGGCCTTCCTCCCTAATCTCAATTTGGATACCCAGGAAACTAAGCACTTATGTTGCTTCACGATCTCTCTCTTCAGGGGTTATAATGCCGGACGTAACCTGCGGGACTTCCATCACGTTCTTGGGTTAGAACATCACGAGGTCGTGAGGCAGACACTCCATTATCACAAGTTATGAAGCTTTTTTCATTGAAATCAAAGATGGTTTTTACTCAATTCCTAACGAAAACCTGCTATAAGTATGTAGCAGTCGACTGGTGAGGTTCAGAATGACACGTTGATATCTATTGGCGATTTTCGAAGATTTACACTTTTATCTCGTGTCAACATTTATTATATGGAATGAGGCCGTTTATCTACAAAAAATGCGGTAAATATAGAATCATGTATTGCATCCATACTACGCGATCTTTTTCACGCCAAATTCGATGTTATTCTGTTCGCCAAACTTGCTCAGACAAAGGTTCGCAAGGATTGAAATTATTCGGACGTTTTTTTTTCTTTTTATTGAGTGTGCTTCAGTGGATGTTCAACACCAAGTTACAGAAATTCTGCCGACAATTAAGCAGTGTCTTCCACCACTTGATGTGACTTATGAAATACCGCAAGGAGGCACACTCTTTCTTGACAAGCCTTCTTGACCTTCGCTTGTCTTCTTCGTTTTAACATAATCGCTAGGGCTATGAACCACAATCGGAAAGCCTGTCCTTGTAGTACCATTCAGCGCACGCAAATCGGATAAAACGAGGGATTGCCAGGCTGTGGGTTAGGAATGCCCCTGATAAATTCACGCCGGCACGCTATGGCCGCTAGTTTCGCAGGACGAATCAACTGATCATTCTTGGCAGGCTATCCAGTGTTAGAACCGGAGTCGGTAGTTGGTTGCTTGATGCATGCTTTGCGTATGCGAAGACGGCCGGAGAACAATGGTGAGCCCGATGCTGAAAAAAAAAAACAGCGTCGTACCTTATCTGCATCAAACTCCACGGCATTTGGAAAAGATAGGCACGAGAAGAAACATCCGCGTAGTGTTCTCTGCTCCATAAAAACTAAGTCGACTATGTAAACTAACGAATCCCAAAAAAGAGTTGCTGCGCACCTCTGGAAAGAAGGATGCGGCTAAGTTTGTCCAATGTTTCGTAGCTGCCGTCTCCAAGTTCCCTCTGTCGTGCGACGCGGTTCCCATAGGACAGACTGGTAGGTGCGCCAACGAGCGCTAGCGTGAACACTGTTACAAAGTAAAAAAAAAAAAAGATTTATTCTGGTGCTTTCCTGGCTATACATTGTAAGTCTTATGCATATACTCCATTCTTTGACCAGTATGTCATCTTGGGTCACAGTTTTAACCAGTTGAGACGAGAGATTACTGTGGCGAACTTAATTGCAAAATATGCGAAGGTGTGTGTGAGTACACCATACGCAGATTTATCTGAAAAAAAAAGAAGGCGCAGCACAGTCACAGCGATAACTATAACAGCGGCTTTTCAAAGCCTTTCTAAACACTCATTGGATAACTGCGGCAAGCACACTTGCTTGATGTCCACTATGGCATTATGCTAGCATTCGATATGCTATTTTTGTCATTCTTCCGAGAAACGTGGTAACCACTAAACAATTGCAAGAAATTTTGTACCCATTGTTCATGCAGTGGCTAATGATAATGAGGAATTGTGCCTGAAGTGGGTATATGCCACCGTTAATAGGTGAACAAGAACGACCTTCTGTAATGGGTTGTACCTTTTCACAACCCACTAGTTACGCTATTCGCATCCTGAGACGACAGCGAGTTTTTTCGCTGTTTTAAAACGCTTTATAAGTTGTGATAACGTGATTGATTTCCCGACATTAGGCCTGCCTAAATCAAGTTCGCCGACAAGTCCCAAGCACCAGCATGGCTTAGTGGTTGAATACTGGGCAGGTACCCAGTGGAACCGGGTTCCAGTCCCACTGTGTCATTGGTACTAGGCATTTTTTTTTCTAATTTTGCGCGATGTGGTTAGGGACACCGGAGGTGGCAGCGGTGGACAACTGCGGCACTGCGCAAGACCCAATCGGTGATCTTATAACAGCTCTCGTTGTAAAATGGCTATATTTACTGGGGCGTGCTCTGAAGTGTTCATATATGTTAATTAGTTTGATACCAACGAAAAGTTAGGTTTTCTCGCAAAGTGCGCAGCGTCACACGCTCATGGTTTTGTAATATGTGGGGTCATGCGTGTGGCACAGTGAACAATATAGTGTGCTTTAGGGCCACGCAATGAACAAAAGTTGACAGTTTAGTGCTCAAACTGTCATCTGTTTTTGCCTTCTTGATCGTAGCCTCTGCGCTAATGCAGTAC